AGCGCTTTGATCAGCTGCGGCACAGTTTCAGCTGCTGCAGGACCCATTTTGCCCAAGGCCTCTGCAGCATTACGGACCACATAGCTATTGAAATCCTGCAGCGCTTCGATCAGCTTCGGCACAGCTTCAGCTGCTGCAGGACCCATTTTGCCCAAGGCCTTTGCAGCATAGAGGCGCACCATCCAAGCATCATCCTCCAGCGCTTTGATCAGCTCTTCAGCTGCTGCAGGACCCACTTCGCCCAATGCGTCTGCAGCATTGCGGCGCACATCCACCTCCTCATCCTCATCCTTCCACGCCTTCAGCAGCTGCGGCACAGCTTCAGCTGCTGCGGGACCCATTTTGCCCAAGGCCTTAGCAGCTTTTCTGCGCACATTCTCATCCTCATCCTCCATCGCCTTCATCAGCTGCGGCACAGCTTCAGCTGCTGCAGGACCCATTTCGCCCAAGGCCTTTGCAGACTTGATGCGTACATGCCCAGCCTCATCCTCCATTGCTTTGATCAGCTGCAGCACCGCTTCAGCTGCTGCGGGACCCATTTCGCCCAAGGCCTCTGCAGCATTTCTGCGCACATCCTCATCCTCCGGGGCCTTCAGCAGCTGCGGCACCGCTTCAGCTGCTGGAGGACCCATTTCAGCCGAGACCCTTGCAGAATTTGTGCGAGCACTCCCTTTCTCTTCTTCCAGGGACTTCAGCAGGTGCGACACTTCGGAACTGTCCGCATCCTCGGCAGGAACCCATTCAGCTGATGGAGGTGCTGAGGTGCAACTGATTTCAGCCTCAAGGCCAGGCCGCAAAGAAGACCAAGCATGTGGCCCCGAGCGGGCACTTCCCTGCGGACTTGTCTCTGTGCCTTCCAAATACCAATCTGGAAGCAGGGTTCCTGGCCAGTGATCAAGGATCAGTCCCTGCAGATGATGTGGATTTGCTTCAACCAGGCGTAAATGCCAGGCTGTTGGCAAGGAGGGAAACTGAAGAGGTTGAAGGCAATCCTGAAGCGAGATAGGGGTGGGAGTGGCCTTCACCCTCCAATAAAGAGCACCAGATCCACAGGGGGTGGGAGTCCGCCTGTGACGCTTGCGGCCTCTCTTGGCTGTCATGGCACGGCGATTTGCCTACACTGGAGCCTGGAGCCTAGGTTCACAGCAGCGCAGCTTTGCACGGAATGGGTGATCGGAACAGCGACAGCTGTACAGAGTGTGGAGCTTACACACTCTCCGGAACGCCGGATGCCTCATTCAGGTGCTCTCGGGGCACGCCCACATCTAGAGTCGGAACCATGGAAAGCTAGCATGAGCTTTCAATCTGCTTACTAGATTTAGTAGGGAATAAGGGATCACATAATCCCTAAATGATACATATCTGAAATAGATTCCCTCATTCCCTACTAACCCCAGTAAGCCTGAGATCCAATATACACTTCTGTACTTGTGATGTGACCCGTTTAACCACAAGTAAACCACTGAGGTGCCCGCACATTACTCTCGTGGCCAGGACACCAATATGGGCCTGTAATAAGGCCCTAGAGCGGGGTCTCAGTTTTGTGTAGCGGGCTTTGGGATGAATCATTGGATGCCGGGAGAACTCCGAATGAAGGCTCCGGGGAAACTTGCGGTGGATGATGTTTAGGGTTAAGGGGATGGGAACACTGCATCACCCGGAAGTAACGGATAGCATGCTTGGTACACATGAGTGATGCATGTGGCACGTCTTGATTCTTGATCTACACAAGAATGCCCATGGAACCTATAAAGCCTAGATTGCGATCTGCTCATCCCAAGCGCTACGCCATCATCGCTGAAACTCAGCGCCTAGACTTCAAGCCACTGCATATGTGCTTAGATGCAATCCAAATGTACTCCTGTGAGTGACAATGCCCTTACTCATAGCAACTCGGCACACAGCCATGAAACCGCTTAAGCAATGACAAAACAATGCACTTGACCACTTAACAGTGCCTTCAAGGGCATACATAAACGGAAGCAATGCACAACCATTGCTTTTTCTCTGCTAGCACCACCGCGTTCAGGGTTCGAGACTTCTCAGAAGCGCAGCTTCTTGCGCATGTAGAGGACGTCCTTCGGTGATATTGCGGCGGCCACACAGTTTAGGGTGTCAAGTTGTAGGCTTCAGAGTTCAGTTTGGAGATACACAATTAACAGGGCTAAGCCACTGCGGTGTGACGAAGACTTTTGGTTCCAGGACGGAAAACTACAACAGGACCTGCAAGGGAGCTTGACCAGCGTCCCCAGAAAGAAATTCGAGGATTTTTTGGTAGTCATGGAAGGAGCCCCATCCCCCAAAGCATTAAAAAGGATCGCTGAGTTTAGGCTCTGCCCCGGCATAAAAGGCCCCTATATGGGGCGTTATCAAAAATTACAAGTCCTGCTTGGGGGGGGGTGCCCTTACTGAGGATTATGTTATGCTGAGGTTTTATTGGGGTGTATGTTGGGTCTACCCATTTATGGAAACCCACATATACGGGCTTCTCGAAACAGCCAAGGCGGCCTCAGGGACCTTTGGGATAAGTCGGGATTACAAGGAGATTACAAAGAGATTAGAACCCAAAGGTCCCATGTAGTTATAGAATATATACTTAATGTGGCACCCCTTTTAGT